TAACGAAGAAAATGCAATATTCCAGAGGGCTGTTAATTAGCTCCACATTTAACGCTTTAATTTCTCATTCAGAACCAGAAATTTGCAGATTTCTAATTTTAAAAAAAGTCTACGTCCAGTGATTTCACATGCAGTATTCTTCGCTCTAAACTGCACCACAGGCGGTCGGTGTAAGGAGAGAGAAGCTTCTGGTCGTGTGGTTGAACCTTTGACCTCTACGCTCACGCTGCCCACAAGGCCATGTGCTCCATTATTTATGCAAATGAGAGGCGATGAAAGCCTCCATCGGGCCGCCTGAAGCTCGCTGGCTGCACAGGATGAATTTCTGCACAAACACAGCGAGACCGAGCGACACATTAACCAACATTATCGGCTAATATTGGCCCAGATACATCTGCATATATGTTCCAATTTAAGTACCTTGTTTTTTTAACAGAACATAGTGCTGAGAAAGAAATGCTAATGTTGAAATATTTTCATTACAGTGTTTTTCCAGCAGAGCGGCTCGATTCTTTGCAAAACTCTCAGCTAGGGATGCTAATGATTATCGGTTCATTGATAAATTGTCGGTAAAAATTTAAGCAACAAGGACAAAGAACATGCATGTTTTGTTGATTATCTGTAGTACCTGGTTGTGCCACCAGGTGGAGCCTCTCGTCGTTTCACGCTCTGGCAACCCAAGAAGGTGGTAGCTCAGGTTATAGGTAGCTCATGTTGGCAGGCAGAGAGCATTGTGGGAGTTTAGCTAGCAAAGGGGGCACCATGACAAAGACTTCAGCTTGGCTTAATGCCCACCGGGATGGTCATCGTTAGCCACGTTGACGTGACGGCATCACCGGGGTTGTTTGGCTGAAAATGGGAGCGCACGACCGCATTCAAATCGGAAAAGAAACTCGCAGCACATGTAGCCGAGTAGACGGTGACGCAGAGTCGAGTGGCGCTTCCGCAAAAAAGTCGCTAACGTGTTTGTAAAATCAACATTATCGGAACGTTAATACACATACATATGCGTATCTAATACCAGCTGGCGTGTCAGTGTTGGTACTTTTCACTTTTTCAATATTGTTTTTTAGCATCAGTATCAGTCGGGCTCCAGAGGAAAGCTCACGGCACAATGTAGACATCATTTATCATCACTTTCACTGCAACTGAAAGAGCAAACTCAGCCTTGATCTGTATTTGCATAAGAAAAAATGCATCAAGTGGGTGTTTTTTTTATTAGATTTCTGCTGTTATTAGGATCAAACAAATGTAACAAACAGCGTCTAGAGGAGGCCAACGTGGGTCATCTCCATTAGACTCTCCATTAACTCCCAGCTAATGAGATTATTACATACAAATAGATACTTAAGCACAAAAAAAAAGTCTTGTGTATCGACTGAAGCTTCCAGATGCAGGTTGTTCAGTTTTTAGTTACAAAAGAAAGTCGAGAAACATTTTCAGCATCCTACCGCTCACTCAGTAGGAATCCTTCTCACGACTACACGCTCCACATCAGATTAATCGCCCCTCAACGCGCCCGACACGACAAACATTAGCGAACCTGAAACACTATCCTCCTCAGGGCCGCGTTTGGCTGCAGGTAGACGGAGATCACAGCCCAAACACTCGCCTCCTGGAGCGGTTTGAAAAAAGCTTTCTGGATGATACCGAGCATGATGGGCAGCGATGGCTCCCAGCAGGGAAGGCAATCAGGCGGACGAAATCACAAAACGTCTCTGGCTTTTTTTTTTTTTTTTTTACATGAGAGAGGGCAGAGGAAGGGGGGGAGGCAGAAAGCAGAGAGCGGAGAGGAGAGAGAGGGGATTTTTTTTTGCGATGAACGCTGGAATTCACACCCAGGGAGAGTTCTGGCTGTCAGAGCAGCCCCAGGCAGGTTTTACAGCCTTTTGGGGGCAAGTACATATCAAACTGATGTCAAAACGCAAGTCTGTTTAAAGTCACCGAGTGAACATGACAGCTGGGTTTTTCCCCTTTCAGAGCTGTTGTTAATCAGGTTTTAATTTTACACAGTTAAGACGAAAAGAAAAAAAAAGGATAAACAAGCCTAAAATGGAAACGTTTTCCAGGTTAATAAAGTTTTTGCTCAGCAGTCAGCTTTGCAGATTAACCCTCGGAAACCCATCAGCAGGTTTGAAATGCATCTTATCTTTTTACAAAATTGCTAAAGAGTTAGTAACTCTAAGAACAGAACCAACTGTCCTTGAACTACTCATCTATTCTGTCGGGACATTCAATCAAAATCACTTTATTCTACATGTCTCATTTTAAAAAAAATTGTCAAAAATTAACCGTTTGCTGTTTTTAGAGTCTGTAACAAACAAAAAATTTTACAATCCTCTGCCTAACTAAAAGATCTTGACTGGCTGAGCTATGACCAACAGGTATGTGACAATAATTCTGTAACTCTTTGGATGAGATTCACACAGAAGATGGTAGACAAGCACAGAAACAAATGGAAAATCTAAGTAGTGAAATATCTATAGCATGCAGAGTCACAGTATGAACAAAAAACACGACTTAAACACTAATAAATCACAATATTCCATCAAAATCACATGTCTTGTGTAGAAATTTGCCAAAAGCTATCAATGTGCTTTAGCTAGATTTAACAAAAAATTAAAAATTCTGCACTCCTCTGTGCAACTGTGAAGCCATCAATGAATCAGCTGCAAGCAACAGTTAAGTGATAAAAATTCAGAGTAAAAACATAGAAAAAGGATGATTTGGTTGCAAAAGACGAACTGTATGGAAATATTTCAGCAACAGAAAGCAAGGAGTTGACGAACGCACAAATTTGCACAACAATCTGCACAACAAAGCTTCGGCTGACGAGTGTAAAGCCAACAAAAAGGAACTTTGCACGCCTTTGTCACTAATGCACGACATACGAAAGCATACAAACAGCTTTATTAAATGATTTTTTCACTTTCAACGCACATCCAACCCTCTGACAAAATCACCACAATCACTCAAATGACTGTTTCAGAACAGTTTTCTTATGATCTATCCTAGAAAAACAATCTATCGCAATTTTTTTCCTCAATATCGTGCAGCCTCGAGTTCAGTTATTTGAAAAACAGCCACGATATACTCAACACACACACACAAGTTCAAGAAGCTGTAACTCCTGCGTAGACACACGGACTATCTGAGCTCGCAAAAGACAGCTGGGTCCTCTCCAGAAAGTGCCCTCATCTTTCTTAATGCACTGTAGCGTGTAAAGTGTGTCAAAGACTCATTTTAAATAACTCTCACATAAAAAGAGAAGCAGCGACGGGGCGGAGGAGACAGAGAGGGAGAGGGAAAACAACTCTTGGCTAACACCGCAGAAAAAGATTACTCTGCTGCTGTGTTAGTTTTTCTTTTCTTTTTTTTTTTTTGGTGCAATATGGAGAGATTAAAGCAAACACAGTCGACGTTTACTTTGGATTGATCTTTGGGTATTTCTCTGCCTCGAGAACAAAGAGGGAGGAATCGCGCTAAGCTCAGCGAACCGAGAAGAGTCCAATTAAATCCTCCTTGTAAAATTAAAAAAAAGGAACCACATTGGCATAAACAATAAATGTTCCCTTTAAAATGCCCTTATTTGAAGTGATGAACACACAGAAAAAGTGAGGCGAGTTCAAAGCAGGCGTCCCATTAGCGCGTCGACGAATGTGTACGATGAGCCGAGCGCTGTCTCTCTCGTTGCTGAGCGAGGATCCTTTTTATCCTCGTTTATGACTCAATATAAAGACGACTCAAGGAGGACTCTTTTGTTATTGTGCCGCACAAAAAAAAAGAAGAAAACTGTCGCTTTTCTTGTGGTTTTATTGTCACCTCATGCGCGGCGCCTGTTTTGTCCGGCAGCTCGTGATTCATGCGCGACCCCTCCACTTTGTTTAACTGCTCAAAAGCCACAACGTCTGAAACCAGACAGGCACCTTGTGTTTGTAAAAAAAAATCACCAAAATTACACCATTTATCAGAACAAGGAACTTTAAAGCAGAAATAACACTTGAGTTGTCAACTTTCTGATGATCCCTAAACTTGTTCAGTCCAGAAAATCAACCAAATCTAAAGTTTAAATCATTATGTCTCTTCAAAATAAGTTCATTCTGCATGTCTCATTTGAAGATTTGTCAGAAATAAGCTTAAAAAACAAGAACTTCTGCACTCCTCCTGCAACTGACAAGCCATGATGATAAAAATACAGACTTCTCTGCTGAACTGCAGGCAGTGTTTACACAGAGCAGAGAGGAGACAAGCGTGCAAACTAAATAAAAATGGTAGAATTTGTACAAAAAAAAAAACCTTTGCAATAATCAGATTCTGTAAAAAACAAAAAATTCTGCACTCCTCGCTGCAACTGTGACAACTTTAATGACTCAGCAGAAACCAACAGTCAGCTGACTAAAATTCAGGGAGTTTTCAGCTTAACTGCAGGCTGTGTTTACGCAAAGCAGATAGGACACGAGAATGGACACAAATTAAAAGCTTTGTTGTCCCCGCTTTCTGCATTTAAACATTTGCCAAAAAAGACGCCTTTGCACTAACCAGATTCTGCAAAAAATGAAAAATTCTGTGCTTTCTGGTGCAAGTGTGAGTGCACTCATGACTCAGCTACAACCAACAGTCAAGTCACACAAAATAAACGAGTTCTAAACTTAACTGCAGGCTGTGTTTACAAGTAATACCTATAGTTTGTAGAGTTGTGCTGTGTGCTATGAGCATTTGGAAAAATTTTGCACAAGTCTTTTCACATTACAGCTGTGTCAGATATTTCTGAGCTCTCTGTGCTTCTAGTCGTGGTTGTGCTGTTTCCATTGGAGGAAATAGGAAGAAAAGCAAAAGCCATGTAGAGTTCAGAGGGTTAAAGGATCAACGGTGTCAACACAAAACTGTCCAGCAGTTATCGCCCCAAAATGTTGCTCAAGTGTCTCCAGCAGAGCTCTGAACTTTCCGTGCAGACAGAAACCAGAGCAGTGTCAGTAAGCAGTTTTAAAGTTGTGTCCTACCTGTGGGCTGAGCGGTGGGCAGCCTGGCCGGGGCCACGCAGAGCGGCAGGAGGAAAGAAATCCAGAGTGAGCACCACAGAGCCGTCATTCCTCTGGACGGAGAGGTGAGACGCAGAGCAGCGAGGCCCGACTCACACGGCATCCTCCGATCGCATGCTGTCCAGCAGAACGGCGGCCGCAGACGCCGCGAGAAACTATCCAACGAGCCCCCTGCCACCGACCTGCGGAACAGCAAACACGTCATGAGAGAGAGAGCAGCGAGAACAGAAATCCACACAGGCAGAAATATTAAAAGCTGCAGCACGAAGAAGTGCCTTGGGGTCTGCACACATGCTCCCACATTCTGACCTGACATTCCTCACAGATTTCAAGGATTAGGGTGGAAATTCCTCTTCACAGTTTTTCTCAGAAACTTTCTCTCATCGTTAAGATGTGCGAGTAGGAATTCTGATATTGGAAAAAGAAAAAGGTGTGCACCCATATTCCCCAAAGTACAACACAAGTTCACTAATTAACTCTGCAGGATGAGCCGAGGAGAGATTTCAAAAAGAAAAAAACCTGCTTTATTTCAGCCTGTCATTCCTTCCACGGGACTCTTTTTCTGCTTGAGAAACTCTTCTGCATGGTTTAGCAAGCGATTGACACGGATTTACTAATCTTCCTGCGGGATGAGGAATGCCGAAGTCTACAGTATCAGTTGCCCAACGTGCTCAGCGGCGCACCGAAGAAAGATCCGAGTCGGACGCCCAGAAAAGCACTTTGGAGGGTTTCGTCCATCTTTAGTGTACCTTCCAGGTTTGGTGAGCTCAAGCCCCTTCAGAATGGGCTCTGCTTGCACACACAGAGCTGCATTGTGCACACACTCGGTCCACAGAAAGGTTGTGTTGTCTTAAGTCTTAACAGCGCTGTTTTTCTTTCCCTTTAGAGGGACCTGTGACCCTTTTCTTGCTCGGCACAAACTGGGAGCCTCTATTTGCACATTATCGGAGCTCTGCGCAGGAAAAACAGCGAGCGGGGAAACTTTGCACGTGGATAAGATAAAGAAGCAACGCTGTCCTGATCCGAGCTCTCCAGAGTCCTGTTTGCAGGCCTCTCTTTAAAGCTTCTCTTGCAGAAACACACACACACACACAAAAACCCTTCTTTCTGCATTGCACTACACCTTCCAGAGCTGACAAAGCAGCTTCATAGCTGCACAGATCTGTTTAGACAAGTAGCATGACAGCCTCTCGAGAAAGAAACCGGGAAACAATAGCGGCTTTAATCTGGTGTCAGGTAGGAGTTTAGACTGTCTGAGGAGCAGCCAGGTGTTGCAACACCACTGATGGAGCAGCAGCAGGTCATTCACGCCGCTTCTATCCTCATTTCTTACTAAATATCCAACTTTTTTTTTCTGTGGCTGCAACCAGCTGCTTTGATTTCACCCCACAAACCTCAGAAAAGCAGAAGGTGGATGCAGGAGACCCGGCGAGGAGTTCAAAGCCTCCGCAAGTGTTTCCATGCTAATATTTTCTCAAAGCATGAAAGGGAAACACAAGCGCGTCGGTGAATAATACATGAACATTAATCATGCAGAACTATCTTCACGTTGTAATAGCTCAAGGGGGGGAGAAGAAGTGCTTCAGCTGGGGTTCAAATCCCTGCCATCCCCCCCCTCCTCCCCCAGCGAGGATCAATGCAGGGCGGTCACATGCTAGTCACACCTCTAACAGTGTCAGGAATCTTTAATAATTAAGCCAACAGTCGAGGCCGCAGTGTCATTTTGGAGAGATTAGAGGGTTTTTTTTGGGGGGGGGGGCAGAGCACAAGCGCAAACAGAAAATCTCTCACGTTAACTCTTTTTTTTGGTATTTTTGTGCCACATTTCCTCCCTTTATCTCCCTGCTTTCACCACACCAGCACCTCCTTTCTGTTCGCTCTTCAGGTGAGAAGAGATATCGATCAGCCCAGCTCTGAACTTTAAAAGCTGTCAGAGCGGCTGCAGGTGGAGAGACTCGTGTAAAAAGAAAAAAAAAAGAAAAAAGAAGAAGGGAACATTACCACCAAACAGAAAGAAGATGCAGAAAGGACACTGTGTGGTGAGGAGCCACCAAACAAACCTGGCTGATTTAAACCCTGAGAGCTTAAAACTCCCTCTGAGGTTGTACTGTGGACAGTAAAAATCTGAAAAATCTCATAACAGGCTCAGTTTTAACTGCCAAGAAACATTCATGAGACTTTTTAGTAATAATAGAGCCTATATTTGAAGTGAACTTCCTAACAGAGAATCACAGGATGTTCTCAATTGTATGAAAGGAGTCCACACATGAGGCTGTATTATTGGGAGACATCAGTGTTTGTGCATGAAAGAAACCAGCTTTTCTTTCAAATTAGACAACTTCAAGCCAATTAATGGACTGTTTTCCTCTTTCTAAAGGAGAATAAAGAGAAAACTCCACGCAGAGCGATGGTCTCAGGCCAATTTCTGTAATGAAAGGAGCCAATCAGAGGCTCATTTGGAACCGAAATGTGTCTGAGACTCGCCTGTGATTGAAAAACGCAGCACAACCGGCGTGCGTTATTTCTCGGGTCAATAGATGCAATTAATTTGCAGCATTAGCTCGACTATTATCGCCCAGCACGCTTGTTTTACAGATGCGGGCTTTAATAATTCTAATGCAGCGCGAGTCCCAGAGCTCATTTCATCCTCGCCTCTTTCGCGGGACGCTCTAATCCGGTAATTCTCCCCGGTTTGTGACTCGACGTGGTGGGAAGTCGGAGCCGAGCTGAGCGGCCAGAATCACCATCTGAATCCCATTGAGGCGCATGTGTTTGAAGCGGTGGATGACTGATCTGCTGCTGAGGGGAAGAGAACCGCACAGTTCGTTCATTCAAAGGGGAGGAAGAGGAGAAGAAGAAGAAGAAAAAACGCGCTGCTGCTTTCTGGAGAAACTTCAGAGATGATCAGAGGCGTTAAAGGCTCCGCGAGAAAGAGGCTGATGTGTAATTCATATTCCAACCTGGGAAGACGTCACTGTTGCAGTGAGGAGAAAAGGCGTGTTCGTCCAGACGAGCAGAGGATGGCAAGTCGGCGTTGCACTTTTTTTATGTGAGAAAAATCGCACATGGGAACGTTTGATTTATTAGAAATAGAAAGTAAACTCAGCAGAAACGCATATAATAGCCATCTAAACCCGATTCTGATGGAGCGATACGCGTGCGTAATTCCATTCCAACCGCTTTCTTTCTCTTATATCTGCCTCTCTGTTTCACATGTTTCCAGGATTTTTCTAGAAACCAAAGTGTAAATGTTTTAAGAAGTGGACTAAATGCCCAAGAATGACTTTTCACAAGTCGCTGCAAACAAGAAAAAAAAGGAACCTCTCCTTCCAGTAAAAGCCATACATACGTATTTTCCGACCCAATTATGTATATGGTTATTTTCACAGCGTGCGTAATTTCTCCAAGAGACACAAACCTGCGCCACACACAGCGCAAACCGCATTTATGAGCTATAATAGAAACCGCCTGCGCTCCTGCTCCAAACCAAAGCGGTGCAAAAAAAAATACGCACAAGCCTGCGTCCTTATTCTGTCTCGGTCGGTCTGACAGCAGCCAGGACGATTACGCACGAACCGGTGACCAACGAGCCGCTGCCTCTGCGCCACCTGCGCGATGGCACCACCGGGCTGCTCCTGCGCTTCCACGATCCACTCCTCAGTGCCACACGGAGAGCTCAACCTGTCCGACTCGCATCTTACAAGGAAGTGCAGCTGGATCTGTCCTCGTCAGACGCTCCAGGACAGTGTGTGGATAAAAACAGTAGAAATGTGAGTTAGAATGATGAGACAAGACTCACCCAAATGCCCAAAGTATCCCGTTTTGACAGAAAACCTCCGCTTCCAGGTGTCTGATGTCACCAAACATTCATTAGAAGAAAACCAGCTTTTAATTCTCCAGTAAACTTCACCAATAAAAAGCCCCAAAAACTACTTTTAAAATCCTCACGTCCACGAGAGCAGCTCAGCGACAGTGGAAGAAAAGAGAAAAAAAGTCAGAAATCCCTCTCACGTCTTGACGGTTTCCACTCGGGCACCGCCGCTGCGAAAAACCAAAAAACGCCAACTTCTCTCCACTTAAATCCCGATCTCCGCCGCGCGCTGCTGTCCGCGGAGTCCGAAGTGTCCAAAGCCCCGAGACGCGCTCATCCTCGTCCTGCTCCGGAGCCGTGTGGAGGGACGCGGACAACAAGGAGGCTCCTGGCGTTTGTCTTGTTGCTCTCCGGCGCGGACGCCAGTTGTGTGTGTGTGTGTGTGTGTGTGTGCGCGGTTCGTCGCCTCGGATCTACCAACTCGGACTGGTGGCTGCGCTCCTCCGGCTGCCTGTGAAGTACGAGTTTGCAAGGTGCTGCCGTCAAGGCGGCGCGGCGCGGGGGAGAGCAGCACTTCCGGGGTTGGCGTAGAAAATAAAACCTGTTGGCGCTCGAGCGGTGACGCAATGCTCCTCTGAGCTCGGTGCCAAAAGGTTTGTGTTGAAAGCACAGCCAGGAAAACACGGATTTCTACTTTTCTTATTCCTGTTTTAAATTCTGGTATGGATTTACAGATATGGAAGAAGACGTTTTTCTGGATTTCAAAGCTGAATTTTAGTTTAATTTTTACTAATGTAGTTTTTATTTCTCTTATTTGTCTTTATGCCTCCACCTTTGTGCCACTTGATTAATTCTTTTTTATTTCTTTCAAGGTAAGTTTATGGAGACTTCAAAGTAGTTCCTTTAGGATTAATAAGGTTTTCTATTCAATCAGTGTCAATATGTCTTTACTGTCATCGTCGATATTCAGGGAAATTAAGTTTAGTCCTCACCTTTGCTAAGAAGCAGTTAAAAGAACTTTGAAATACCACATAAAACTGCACTATAATAAATAAAAACACATAAAAATAATTTTAAAGTGTAAAATTATTATATTATATCATAGTTTTATTAAACCATTTTGTACTCACGGTTATTTTAAATGTACCAATACATAAAAATCTGATATAAATTGTATTGGTAACTACATAAATTGCTGCCACTAGAAGTAACTAAGCAAAATCAAATAAATCATGATTAAATCATCAAATTAATTGTATTCTACCAGGTAAACATCCAGTTAGGACTTTTGTTTTTAAGGCTTAAATATGCTTAACATGCATATATAAATAAGAATTATGATATCAGTTTTAAAGGCAACTAAATAAGAAATCAATAAGTAGCTAAAATCAGGTGGATCATGATTAAGTCATCAAATGAATCCTACTCTAAACGGTACCCTGGGCTTTTATTTTGAAGGCCGTGCCCTCTCCTGTGCGTCAGCGTTGCGCACTTGACGCAGACCTCCTCTCCGGTCCCTCCGGTGCCTCCTGGCCGCCTCTGCCTGCGCGCCGCCGGGACAAACAGCAGCAGCAGCAGCGGCGGGGGGAGGGCGGTCGGGTTTCGGCGCGCCGCCCCTCCGGGCCCCGCTGGAGGCAGCAAGGGACGGATGGTTCCAAGCGCCTCCCACCTCTGCGACTGTGTCCCTAAAAAATAAAAAATAAAAAACTCAATCAAGCGAGCCTGGATCTGCTGTATGGACCTAGAAGTGATGCTTTCTGTTGGAGTTTGGATCCAGGAGGTCCAGGAGAGTCCTCTGGGAGCTGCTTGGTTTCAGTGTCACTGTGTGGAGTTCAGGCTTCACACAGAGGTTTTTTTTTGTTTGTTTGTTTGTTTTTTGTCACTGTGGGAGCAATTAGGGGTTAAAATCCTGAGGAGGAGTCCTGGAACCTGGAGAAAGTTCAGTCTGAAGAGTCAAAGCTGCTGCTGAGCTGCTGTTCAGTGGAATCAGTGGGTTTCTCACCACACTGTTAACTGATCATTGAAATAAATGACCAATATTATGAATAAAAATGAGGTTTTTTTTTGTTTTGTTTTTTTACAACAAAAGTGGAGCAGTAGTCCGTTAAATTCTTATGTTTTCTATTTAAGATACTAGATAGCTGGGAAAGTCTCTGGTTCAAACAGTTCTGAATACAATGAAAAGAATAAAAAGTTCTGGGTTAGTTGGTTTAAAATTAAATCTAAGTTCAGGTAACTTTATGAAAGTGGCTCCATAAGTTTTGTTCACCTTGAGGTCAAAGGTCAAGTCTCCTCCTCTTCTTTACTTAACACTGGAACAACTTTTTAAAACATTGCTGACTTGAAAATGTGTGTTCATATTTTATGTAAATTAACTACACACCATTTAATTGTAAACACTG